GTCATTGGGTTGGTCATGGGGACTCCAAGATGTCATTAGGGTGGTCATTGGGATGGCAAGATGTCATTGGGTTGGTCATGGGGACACCAGGATGCCATGAAGTTGGGCATGGGGACCCCAAATTATCATTGGGTTGGGCATGGGGACTCCAAGATGTCATTGGGTTGGTCATTGGGATGTCAAGATGTCATGAACTTGGTCATGGGGACACCAGGATGCCATTGGGTTGGACATAGGAAGACCAGGATGTCATGAGGTTGGACATGGGGACCCCAAAATATCATTGGGTTGGTGATGGGGACTCCAAGATGTCATTGGGGTGGTCTTTGGGATGTCAAGATGTCATGAACTTGGACATGGGGACACCAGGATGCCATGAAGTTGGGCATGGGGACACCAGGATGTCATTGGGTTGGTCATGGGGACTCCAAGATGTCATTGGGTTGGACATGGGGACTGCAAGATGTCATTGGGTTGGTCATTGGGGTGTCAAGATGTCATTGGGTTGGTCATGGGGACACCAGGAAGACATGAACTTGGTCATTGGGACACCAGGATGTCATGAGGTTGGACATTGGGACTCCAGGATGTCATTGGGTTGGACATGGGGACACCAGGATGTCATTGGGTTGGACATGGGGACTCCAAGATGTCATTGGGTTGGTCATTGGGATGTCAAGATGTCATTGGGTTGGTCGTGGGGACACCAGGATGTCATTGGATTGGTCATGGTGACACTAGGAAGACATGAACTCGGTCATTGGGACACCAGGATGTCATGAAGTTGGACATGGGGACCCCAAAATATCATTGGGTTGGTCATGGGGACACCAAGATGTCATTGGGTTGGACATGGGGACACCAAGATGTCATTGGGGTGGTCATTGGGGTGTCAAGGTGTCATGAGGTTGGTCATGGGGACACCAGGATGCCATGAAGTTGGGCATGGGGACACCAGGATGTCATTGGGTTGGWCATGGGGACTCCAAGATGTCATTGGGGTGGTCATTGGGATGTCAAGATGTCATTGGGTGGGTCATGGGGACACCAGGATGTCATTGGGTTGGTCATTGGGATGTCAAGATGTCAT